AGCAGTTAGCGTAATGGCTATGTCGCTGGACTCCCATGTAGTTGACTGTGGTTCGAGTCCCAGACCCAGCGGCTTAAACTCACGCTGGGTGCGTGTGCGTGCATGTCCAAGATCCCAAGAGGAGAATGGAAGAGAAGAGATTGTGGCATGGCCATCCCCCCAGGGGGTGATTTCTCACTTTCTATCTCTCCGTCTGTCTCTGTCTTTCTGGTGAGTGCATGCACCCTATAGCACAAACCTCTCAAAAAAAAAAAATCTCTTAGATTTATATGACATTTATTCACTGCTTTTATTGTATTGATTCTTGTATAAAAGTTGTGTACCCAGGGACCAGCAGACCAGCAGCTAGCGTAATGGCTATGTTGCTCGACTCCCATGTAGTCGACTGCAGTTTGCGTCCCGGACCCGGTGGCTTAAAACTCACACCTGGTGCGCGTGATTGCATGCCCAAGATCCCGAGAGGAGAATGGAGGAGAAGGGACTGCGGCATGGCCATCCCCCCTGTGGGATGAATTCTCGCTTTCTGTCTCACTCTGTCTGTCTCTGTCGGGCGAGCGCATGTGACCTATAGCAAAAACCTCTCCAAAAAAAAAAAAAAAGTTGAGTACCCAGTTTACAGAGATTCATTAAGATATTTTGTGATATTTTATTAGAAAATACATCACATATTTTAAATGAAAGAGAATCTCATGGCAAATTTGATAAATCAGAATATTAGGTTTCACACATGACTGCATCAGCAGTAGGAGCTGCAGTCACAAGTGCTTTAGCCTTGACTATCTGCAGGAGCATGAAGCCTTGAGTATGGAGGCAAAGGTTCATATTACTGGAATAATACCACTGAATACAAATAGAAGAAAAAGTCTAGGTATTCGCCTTCGATTAAATTAGACAATCATTCTACTTTAATTTATTGCTCATTTCTTAAACATCACAATTGCAGAACTGAAGAGATTGCTTATAAAAAAAACCACTGAATAAAATCATAGGCTACTGGAGCTAAAAGTCCAGGGCACTTCTTTATTTTTCTGGAAAGGGGGAGTGAATTTGGAGAAGAGTATTGTGCATAAGATCTTAAATTCTGGAGCCAGTGAGTTTGGGTTCAAATATAGCTCACCTTCTCACTACCTGTGTAACTTTAGCTTGCCCTCATGCTGCGGGAAGGGGAGGGAATAACGTACATCATAAGGCTGTTGTGATGATTAAGCGAATTCCTAAGTGCTCACTCCTTCAAATGGTGCTTGATACCTGTTCAGTATTACTATTTTATTGCTTTCATTATAGAAGGAGAGAGTCAGGAAGAGGAAGAATGAGAGAGAGAGAGAGAGAGACTCCTAACAGGATTTTCATACTACGATCCACCCCCAGCATGTACAGGGAGAAAGCAAGGTACAAACTCAGAACCATCCCATCTGAATCCAGCATCACAGAATATTGCATTACTGCTACACCATTGCGGCCTTCCCCCTATTTATTTATTTATTAAGTTTATGCATTTCTCTTGAGAGAGAGAGGTATTCATGGACAGCAGTCTTCCCTCAGCCTTCTAGCTCATAAGCATCAATGTAGGCATGCCCAGCATGTTCAGGCTGACCAGGGATTCAAACCCAAGGCCTTCCCAGTATCGTACAACAGCACCCTACTGCCTGCACCACTATGACTGTATCTAATATTATTTTAAATCAGAACTAAGCTATGAAGGATCTTGTAAATGGGATAAGGCATTTATACTCAACTCTAACTGCAAAAGTAAGAGTTTAAAGGGTAAATGAGGAAATTAATTCATGATCCACATTTTTTTTTTTTAAAGAGAGATATTTGCTATAGGACATGTGCACTCACCAGAGAGACAGAAAGTGAGAAATCATCCTTTGGTGGGATGGCCATGCTGCAATTCCTGCTCCTCCATTGTCCTCTCAGGATTTTGGATATGCACACTCATGCGCCCAGCATGAGTTTTAAGTTGCCAGGTCTGGGACTCGACCTGCAGTTGACTACATGGGAGTCCAGCAGTGTAACCAATAAACCATCTGCTAGTCCCAATCTAGTTCTATTTTATGACTGTTTCTATATCCATACATCACCCCTTAAGGACTCTAAGAGCAGGTTAGGACATTAATTTAAGGAGAGACAGTGATTTATTTATACTCTGCCAAAAAATGATAATGGGACACAGATGATATTTACAATTTCTGTACTGGGTCACATCTACTCTGAGTTAAAAACCTTATATTCAATTTTCTACTCAATAAATACCTCAATGTAGGTTTCTCATGGCCATATTGAAGTTATTGTCACCATTAAATAACCTGTTTCTTCTAACCCTGAAGATGAATAAACTTCATTAAATTAGTTACCTAATTGTTTAACTGAAAAAACCTAAGAGCCATCGTCATGTCCTCCGTTCTTCTCAGCTCACTTCTTTCATCTACATGATTGTGAAAGGACTGTAGTCCCCCCTCTCCAAGACTGTCAGACTAGGTATTCTCCAATAGCAGGAAGTTGGTTTAGATGTAGGACAGTCAATAAAACTCCCAAAGAGATGCTATTTTCAGAGTTTGTAGCACAGAGACTCTCTCTAACACGAGTTGTGTTCAGTGGACCCTTCTGGAGTGTGTCTCATCTGTGTAATTTGGCTAATTTCTTTTAAAGTAGCCTGATAGAAGAACCCAGAGTCTCCTTTCTTCTCCGAGGGAACACCAAATGGCGGATGACGCCAGTGCAGCTGCAGGGCCCGGAGGCCCTGGGGGTCCTGGGATAGGAGGCCGTGGTGGTGGCTCCCGTGGTCAGGGCTGGGGCGGGCCCGCGGAGAGATCTATCTCTTCTCCCTGCCTATCAAGGAGTCTGAGATTATTGACTTCTTCCTGGGAACATATCTCAAGGACGAGGTTCTAAAGATCATGCCCGTGCAGGCCGGTGGACCAGGTTCAAGGCATGTGTCGCCATCGGGGACTACAATGGCCATGTTGGTTTGGGCGTGAAGTGCTCCAAGGAGGTGGCCACTGCCATCCGAGGGGCCATCATCCTGGCCAAACTGTCCATTGTCCCAGTGCGGAGAGGCTACTGGGGAAACAAGATCAGCAAGCCCCACACTGTCCCTTGCAAGGTGACCGGCCACTGTGGCTCTGTGCTGGTGTGCCTCATTCCTGCCCCCAGAGGCACTGGCATTGTCTCTGCTCCTGTACCCAAGAAGCTGCTGCTGATGGCTGGCATCGATGACTGCTACACCTCAGCCCAGGGCTGCACTGCCACCCTGGGCAACATCGCCAAGGCCACCTTTGATGCCATCTCCAAGACCTATAGCTATCTGACCCCCGACCTCTGGAAAGAGACCGTGTTCACCAGTTCTCCCTATCAGGAATTCACAGACCATCTCGTCAAGACCCACACCAGAGTCTTTGTGCAGAGGATCCAGGCTCCAGCTGTGGCCACAACCTAGGGTTTCCATACAGCTAGAATACAGTGAATTAAGCCTAGGGAAAAAAAAAAGAAGAAGAACTCGGAGTCTTCTCATAGTCCTCATGAACTTCATGATGTCAAAAATGGGCATTTCATAGATATTTATTGGTAATACTCTCTTTAGAAAAGTAGAAAAAGACATGTGGCCCTGTAGCACAATAGTTGAAGGAACTAGATCCCACATGCCTACTGCAGTTTGAGTCTCAGCTCTGGCAGCTTGAAAAAAACTCTAGGCATGTGTGCATACTCAAAATCCTGATGGGATGGAGAAATGAAAGAATTGTAGCATGAACATGTCTTACTGGGGAGTGCTCTATCTCTCTCTGGCGAGCATGTATACCCTCTGGCAATAAAAAAAAGCAAAGTAGATGAAAAAAACTAGGGAAAATATTTCTCAGTTTATATTGTGTTACCCTAACCCTGCACTTAGACAATATATGCAAACAGCAATGAAACTAAGTAATAGTAATAGGTCTTATTCAAAATCAGAGATTAAAGACACATCAAAAATAATACTTGATGGGGTGGGCAAGTGGCATGGTTAAAGTGTCTGGACTCCCACATGGCAGCTTACTTTCTCACTGTCTTTCTCTCTTTCTGGTCAACTTCCAACAAATAAATAAAATAATTACAATGAATAAAATTAAATAAAATAATATAAAATAATTCTTTATAAAAAGAAAAAAATATTATTTGAGAAAACATTTTTTCCTGGATTCTGAAAATACCAGATGAACATGTCTGATCTTGCTTACCCAAATGTTGTCATAAATAATTGGGATCCTATCATCACGGCACTAGAGGGACATGACAGCAAACACTGATGAGGAGAAAAAAGAACTACACTGAAGTTGAAAAGATCTGTAAATTCTTTTTTTCCGTGTTCTTTGCAACGAAGCTAGAGTAGTTCACTCTGAACTGGAAAAAGAGGAAGGTCATTCAGTTGCATAATAAAACAGTTGGGAGAATCTACCCCGGAGAAGTGCCCAAAGACGGTAGTAATTACAATTGAAAGGACAGTTTGTTTTTACACAGCTAGGATACTAGTCCTATCTTTGTCCAATTCATCAGGATAGCACAATCATTTAGGGAATGGCTCATTCTGGTCATGATATGAAGATACTTCTTCATCGGGAGTCTCAGAACTCATGCGCTCACTTAGCCACGACATTCTTGTGCAGTAGGAATGATGCCGGTCCAGCACTATGCTGGCATCAGCAGTGTGCATGGGCTTTGCTTGGGGGAACAGGAAGAATGAGAAGATGATTATAGGATTGAGACAAGATGGCGGGCTCGCAGTAATGATCTTTCAATGGTTGAAAAGTAGTTTGTCTAAAAGCAGATTTTAAAAGCAATTTCTCTTTGGAACAACCTTTTTGGTGCCACCTAAGAAGCCTCTTGATTCACCATGGGAGTAGCAGTGATAAAATGTGTAATATCAAAGACAACCATCTTGAAGCATTTCCTTTCAACCCGAAATGGAGCTTTATATTGTGTTTGTCATAAATCTACGTATTCTTCTCCTCCAGATGACTATAATTACAAAGTGGAGCTTGCTTTGACATCTGATGGCAGGATGATAGTGTGTTACCACCCATCTGTCGACATTCCATGTGAACACACAAAACCTATCCCTAGACAAGATCCTGTGCATAATAATGAAGAAACACATGATCAAGGGCTGAAATCCAGGTTAGAAGAGAAAAGTGAACACCTTGAACAAGGACCCATGGTAGAACAACTTAGCAAAATCTTCTTTACTACCAAGCCCCGTTGGTATCCTCACGGATAGTATCACAGACATTGTAAGAAACTGTACCCCCCAAAAGACAGATGACATCAAGGTTCTCAGAGGAATCAGAAACATAACTCATTTGTCATTTAAGAAAATCCCATGTGGTGAGATGTGGTTATGATATAAAATGGAGTAGTAGTAGTGAAGATGGATTAGGAAAGGAGGTATATTATATACATATATAATTATTTTACAACTTTATTTATTTAAATTTGACTAGAGGTGGGGAGAGAGAGAGAGAAAGTGAGAAAGTAAGCCACTAGGTCCAGGACTCAAATGGCTGTCGGCCATGTGGGAGTCCAGCACCTTTAACCACCACACCAACTGCTGGCCCTGCATTCTAGATATGTTTTAAAGGTAGGTCAGACAGGATTCACTAAAGATAAGACATGAAGTGTGAAAGAGAAATCAAGGATGACTGTAAGTCTCTTGATCTAAGCAAAAGATAGGTGGGGTTGGCTGAGATGGAACAGAAAGTTCAATTTCACACATTTAAAACTTGAGTTGTTGGCTAGAAATTTAAGTGGAATTGTTGGGCAGGCAATTGGATATGTGAGTCTGAAGTTTGTAATAGTGGTCTGTGATGGAAATAAAATTGGGAACTTATTGGCATCTCCATAGCGTTTTGTGCTATGTGACTAGAGTAGATGTTCATGAGAGGGGCTGTGTGGGATGAAGAAAATGAAGACTGAAACTGAAAAAGAAACGATCATTGCTATGAAGAAAAAATATAGCAGGTAAAGGGCATAGGGATTAATGGAGAGCAAACTTTAAGTAGGGTTATATTTTTGAAATTACAGATAATTCATTTTCCTAAGAAGAAACTCGGAGAAATTGAGAAGTGATAATCAATCATAAAAGACATAATAATTTTTTTTTACAAGAACTGGGAAAAGATAACAGTTCACAAAATGAAATAGAACATTGTATTGTAGACAAAGTTAATTGTGGAAGATTAAAACCCACAAATATTTTGAAAATTTTTTGACTATTTAAAGTAAGAAATTGGGACCAGTAGATAGCATAATGGTTACATCACTAGACTCCCATGTAGTCAACTGCAGTTTGAATTTTGGACTCAGCGGCTTAGAACTTATGCCCGGCATGTGTGCGTGTGTGCCCAGGATCCCAAGAGGAGGCTAGAGGAGAAAGGATTCGTGTGTGGCCATTGTCCTTGGTGGGGGGTGATTTCTCACTTCTTTTCTCTTTGTTTCTATCTCCCCAGTGAGCGGACCTGCCGTATAGCACACACAAAAAATAAAACAAAACAAGACCAAAAAACTCTAAAAAAAAAAAAGTAAAAATTTATTGTATCAGCAGATGGCATAATGGTTATGTAGCTGGACTTACCCAGTTTGAGTTCTGTACCTTGTGACTTGAAATTCATGCCAGGCATATGTATATGCATGCCCCAAATCCCTAGAGGACTATGGAAGAAAAGGGATTGCAGCACGGCAATCTGGGGTGTGATTTCTGGCTTTATCTCTCTCTGTCTCCCTGGCAAATGCATGCACCCTATAGCAAAAATCTCTCTCTCTCAAA